AAGTAAAAGGACTATCTTTAAACATTGTTGCAGCATTCTTGAAAAAAAATGTCTTATTGATTTTTGTCTTTTATTGAAGCATCCATACTTCTCGCAATAAAAACAGGTTATAACATTAAAAAGATTACAAAGCGAGTTTTTGGCGCCATTTCACGGTATTGAGTATTCCATTTTAAGATTTCACAAGAGTTTTAGCGCCTTTTTATCTTATAAATGTTATTAACTATTTTAAAAATATTCCATTGCTTATCATGGTATTTTTATTTTTGTCTTCATCTATATGTCTTCAATTTTTTTAGATATTAAAAATGGATAGAATGATGTTTACTCCTGAAAGTAGAACTGTGAGTGTCATTATAGTGTTTATATAGAAAAACGGCACTTATAGCAATAGCAAACGTATTTTAAAATAAAATTATACAACTGTGTGATAGTGTTGCGCTCGACGTCGAACTTGAAGCTGTTTTCATAGCAGAATGGCACTGCGGATTAGAAAACGTACCCATACCGTGCAACGAAGATGAAATTTAGTAATTCACAAAAAGCTATTTATCATGTACTTATAAAACTTATCCTGGCATTATCGTAACTTTTGTTTTTCAAGTACATGTACAGGTATACAGATGTAGATTTATCCGCTGTAGGTACCGGAATGAGGTCAAGGTTGTCGACGCGCAAGCAATACTGAACCGGTAACCTCTCACCACCATATGGAATATATCATTATATACCATGTGGACAAATGTTAAAATATGATGAAAATTACTATTTGTTAAACTTAACTAAAAGATCCGAGGATCTGAGGAGATACGGATTTAAAGAAAAGCAAAACACTACTTTTAAAACACTAATAAAAATCAATGTGATTTATAAAAAAGAAATTCATAAAAGGAGGTTAGTTAACTAGCGCCGTGGGAATAATTATTACAACTATGCATCGCTAAATAAACACTTGAATAGTTAATGAAACCTTCTTGAATCACCAACCCTTGCAACCACAACAAACACGAGTGCACTCACATACGCTCCATTTAAAAATAAACAAGCAGAAAAATGTTTTTAAACAAGTAAAAACATTTTTAAAAAAGCAGCCGAACATCAGCTAAACAAACGAATCTCGCAACTACCGGCCACAATATGCGCCATAATGGAATAATAGTCAAGTACCCAACCCGTCGACGCACGCGCGCGGTCCCTGAGACCCGGTGTTTCAACAAAAATAAACGCATTTAGTGCGTGGCGCATTATGAATAAGTAAGCATATTCTGCACCCCTATTTTGCCTTTTTTAATTTTGAATCGGCTCCCCCAAATCCCAGCAGGCCAAAAATTAAAGTGTAATGGTGCAATGTTTAATAACTTATCTGCGGGTAGCGATGTGTTTTGGCTTTTGTTAATGTAATTTTTTAAAGTTAATTTCTAGAGGGTCGGCGGAATCGATGGCTTGCAAGCAAAATCAAAGCTACACAGAAAGGATTTCTCAATTATTAATACTTAAACTTGTTAAATTATTATTAAGGAATGCTTTTGTGATTTTAAACACAACAAAGCTCACTTACAATAATTATGTAGTTAATGATCACAATACAATACAATATACCGACACTGAATTTGCAATTGTAATATTATAGAAAATTTATTAAAAACGATAACATAATTGGTTAAAAAATCTGTCATTGGCTTTATATTTCTGTTCAGTTGAAACTCTCGGTATCTTTCATGGAACCTATCAATAAAAGCGTTAAGCTTTAATGAAATTCACTGGGCATCAGCAAATACAAATTCGAGGGCAGTAACATTAGTTTCTGCTGAGCCCCTAATCATTGACACATTGACGAAACAATCGCTGGAGGAACGAAGGGTTAGCTGCATTACTGTGGATAATCTTGATTGATCTGCAACAAACATCGGGTACGAAGTGACCCCACTTTCTTTGTTCGGCTTGTAGAGGGTTGATTGCATTTTTCGTACTCATACCGTGCAATAATTAGGGTTCTTGCGGTATGTAATTACAGTTTTTCTTCATTTACCCTAACTTATATTGAATAGCCATTAATACTTTTGCAATATTTATTATTTTAAACATTTTCAGTAACTTTCATTGTTTTGAATTGAGTCCCATTATATTTTAAAGTATGAAAATCCAAGTCAAGGAATCATATTAAACTAATGCATTTTCAAGGTTTACTTCTAAATATAATAATAATAACTGTACAAAATCATGTGGAAGTTTAGTAATTCCATAATAAGAGCAAAACTCCTGTTATAAAAAATACAATAAATTACCACAATAATTAAAGACATGTACATCTCGAAGAAATGACGTTATTCCTGAATAATGTAACAAAGAAAGTAATTATACTAAATTATACCACAATACATGAAACAAATTATACTATAATTAATTTACTACATCAAACGGTGTTCTTAAAAATATTTTCTAGTGACAGTTCACGTAGGGTCACTATAGCTAAAATTAAACGTTACGAATGAAACTTACACTCTATAATCATGTTATATCGCAATAATAAGTGTATACGTGCCCTGGGCTATCATTATAATACATAGGGTTTCTAAGTGATTCACCTAGGTATAAATTAAGGACTAAACGCGGTTTGATCGCAGCTGAAATATTTATTAGTCAGAGACGATGCATTCTTTATGATTAATCTTTTTTTATTATTTCATGGCTTTGAAGTAATCTTTTTGGTTGTAGAAGGTTTTTTTATTATTTATTTTTAATAGTAAGAATAAATTGAAGTACAAGTTAAATGATTAAACGGTTGTACAATCATCCGTTTAACCGTTTAATCATTTAACAATCATTCCACTCTGATAGTCAAGCTGCACTCTTAGCACTAGCTTCCGACATAACTAGATCGAAGCTGGTCGAGAACTGCAAACAGACACTGAACTCTTTGGGCAACAACAACAAAGTAGTTCTACGATGGGTTCCAGGGCACGCTGGACACGAGGGCAATGAACAGGCGGACAAACTGGCGAAAAAGGGTGCTAAAGACGCCCTTATCGGACCAGAACCTTTCTGTGGCATCCCTCAAAGCCTAACCCAGCTCACCTTGAAAACTTACTGCCACTACGCAGCTATTCAACTATGGAGAAACACTCCCGGTATGAAACACTCTAAGACCCTGATTAAAACCTTCAACAAAAAGGCGGCATCAGAGGCCTTAAACTTAACCAAAACTCACCTTCGCACACTAGTACGAGCACTCACAGGGCATTGTGGACTGAACAGACACATGCACAATATGGGGATCAGCGACAGTAGAATGTGCAGAGGATGCAAGGAGGAAGAAGAAACACCTTTGCACATTTTGACCGATTGCCCGTTACTAATGCGAAAACGATGTATCTATCTGGGAAAGCACGTGATGCACCCAGACGATATTAAAGAACTTACGGCCAAGAAAATACTACAGTTCCTTGTAGAATGTAATCTTGACCGTGAACTGTAGTATGTGGAGATCACAATAGATCAGCAATGGTCGCAGTGATACTGGGCTGCATAAACCCAAGATAATCCGCAACTCGAAACAATACAATACAATGTACAATCATATGACTCGTTGAATACCTATAGGAGATTATAATAGTGAAAAAAAAATACAGATATTTACAAAGACATTTTTTGTAAGATCAACCCAAGTTTCGAAATGGCAGATGCCATTATGAATATAATACCGCGTCGATGTTTCTTTAAAATCAAACAAGATTAAAAAAAATATATTTTTCTCTGTTTGTGTATCAGTCCGGGCGTTCACAAGCGGGATTATAAATTTTACAATATGTTTACTTTATTAAAATTCATGGTCCGGATTAAATATACTTTTTTAAAAAGCTTTTTGTAGCGCATCTGGAGATTAAATAATGTAAAGCTTCAATGGCGGACGTTTTGGCGGGAATCGTTCTACAATATATTTATATAATTAACCTTTGAGTAATTAAGTAAATATGGTAGCAACTAGTTTAATTTACTAATAATTATATTTATAGTAGCACTAAATAATTTCATTATTTTCTTTACTAAAGAAACATCCACTATCTTCACGTTGGTTATCACCATAGCTTTTCCATAGACATTAGGTAATTGATTTTAATTAACCACAGACAATTATATTAAGCCTTATCGATCCTTTTAGCGGGGAAACAGCTAGAAATAAATGTGGCAAATTAATTAGTCGAGTGAAAGTAATCACTCTACATAGCCATTTTCTTTTGCATTTCCCAAGCTGACTACACTAAATGTCTGGGTGTGTGTCTATGTAACACGGAAGAAAAGTGTAACGTCATCGGGACAACATTAATTTCAATAAAAGAGGGATTGTCCACGGTGGCACATCCGCAGTCTATGGCTCAAGTTGTACAGTTCATCATTTTAGTACTCAGCAATTTCATTAATATATTAACAAAACATAAGTAATTTAGTTTTAAGGTTTTTTTTCTAACATATCTGTATATAATAGTAGAGGCACTGTTATTTACGCTTTCATTTATCATTAATGAATCCTCCTCGTCTATTTTATTACTATTTTAATGCACTCTGATTTTTCTTATTTGCCTCTAAGTAATACCCGTATTGTTACTGTAAACTTTATCTCAATGGAAATAAAATACTATACGTATAATCGGGACGTATTTTGTTCAATTTGTAATATCTCAGTTTTATATTAAAATTTTAATTTTTATGCACAAATATTTTTTATATGATAGCTTCTACCTTTTTATATCTTTTTAATAACTTTATTTGATTATAATTGTATCGGTACCATAATAACAAACAGTAGGTACCAAAATATACCTAAACATCCACCCTATGTTTGTAGGTAAAAACTCCCTCTAATCCACGTCAGCTGGTTCTGACTGGTCGACCCGCGCCCCGCACCCCGGCGACCCCTAACAACGCTTATTTACACCAAAAACCCTTCAGACCTCCCAATTCATAAAACAACTTCCATTCGAAAGCTCAACTTACGTCGGTCATTAAGACAAATCGGCCAATATACTTTGACCTATCCAAATGTTTAAGTCCCCGCTGTCCTCTTCCGTTTTGTTTGACGGATAGAGGGAGCGGCGGCTCTTGTTAGAACGGACAAATATCTGGGGGCGCTGGCCCTCCTGTCAAATACATAATGAGTATTTTTTTAGTCGTTTATACGTGTACGTTTATGCGATCGATGGTGCTTGGCAGATTTTAATGGTTTTAGCTTATATTCGCACTGGCGACTTGGCAATTAGTTAAGAATTGCTAATTTGATACAACCGCTTTTGTTTTTATTCTCTAACTTCTTGCTTATAAAAAGTTTTGCTTTTAATTCCACTTTTTTGTTGGAAGTTCACTTGATTAGATTCTAAACTGATAAGTGAGGTATATTCCGGATTATTTACATAATAAATTACGATAGCTGTATAGTTAAATGTTATAATGAACATTTACTTCAAACAATTTACAATCTAGAGCTACACGAAGAACTTAATTAAAATACAATAGTAATTAAACTGCCAAAAATATCTGCCAAACCTGTATAGCCACAATGAGAACCTCGCTGCGTTCGTTCGGTAAGAAAAAAAATATGCCAAGTTGTAGAGTCGGCAACAAAATCGGGAAAGCGGACGAGACGTGTCGCGAAGAATGCGCAGAGACCATTAACAATTACCCTCACGGACCATACAGGGTGCTCCAAACCTTAGATAGCATCAAACAATCATATAATCAGCTGTCGATGATCAATTTGAATTATAATTGATGATTAATTTATTATATCCATAAATATTTTGTAACACGCTAAGTCGCTTTGCATTAGTCAAACTCCTTTTTTATAAGGTATTCTACATACACAACACAATGCTTCTCACAAAACATAATAAGTTCAATGCATGCCTATTACAAACTCATATCATAATGTCATTCCATAGACGCCTGCCTTTTAATAAACATCATTAATGTAATGAAGTTTTCACGTACCTACATTAAGGAAAAACTCCAGTAATCTAATAATGGGTAATGGAGTTGTGTCGTTAAACACTCAATATTTCCAAGCGATAGAAAAACCTACAAACGAACCCGTGAGACAGAGCTGTCATTTCAAACAACACAACACAATCAGCCTGTATCGGCGATGCGCGCACCTAGTGTATTTATGTCATTATTAACCGGTGCGAATTAATACTCATTTGGCGTTCATTTTTATCGTATCTCCTGACGCGTCCACAAAAAGTCCGCCATACCGCTAGAGGCGCGCCCGCCACTTTTTATCGTAGTCTGGACTGCGAACGGGCACTGCCAAAAACGGAACGCAACACAGAATTCATACTTAATCAACATTGAGAAAAGTTAAAATAAAGAATTCTATAAAAAAAAGAAAATCAAATTGTCAAATATGCAAATGGAATTCTCAATTTGGAATGTAAGCACCCGTGGACTAAAAGGTAATAAGTCTAATTTATATTTCCAAATAGAATGACTTTGTAAGGAGGTTTATTTCATGTCAGAAATTTTCTATGAAACTCTGTAACTCTGGCTGTGTTATGGATAAGCTTACAATCAGATTGATAGGTACAACAACTGACAATTTTAAACTGCGATAATTAACGTTACTTTATTGAACTAAACTTGAAAAAAAGCGGCACTACTCTGACGACACCATGTCAGCCACTAATTGAGAGGCGCACGCTATCGCATGGTGCAACGAGACCTCAATCAGTATGGTAAGGTTTGAGCAAATTCCCCTTAATTTATTTCTGCGAGTGATCTGACCATTGTCATGAATTATGTCAAACGTTCAATTAGTTCTCAGTGTGATTTTCCTCTGCAGAACTAATGGGATGGCGGCAAGATATGTAGTTTTTTATTATAATGTTGACAAAATAAGTAATCCTGCCCAGGTACGAATATAACTCAATATTCTCTGTAGTTGTTTTTATAATCATCATTATAAAGCTAGGTTTTTATTCATTCTTATATTCAACTTAATTAAAACAAACCCACAATTTAATTGAAATATAAGTAAGCCAAGCTTTACGAATTACTTTGTAGAGATTAGTAAAAATATTGGATTATTTCTTCGAATGCGATGCACCACCACTGTGGCGTGATTCTGTTGCTTGTTGTCTATTCTAAATCGATGAGAATACTAAAGAATATGGTCTTAGTACTTCTCGTTTCCCACATAAAATCTTGACTGAAATCGAAAGTATCTACGGTGCGTTTTCATCAACAAACGAACCCGAAACAAGATACGCAAGGAATTTCAAACGGCAAAAACCACTCGATGGGGACGATAAAACGAAATCGCCGATGCGTTGTCGAAAAAAAAGGCAAGTGCTGCGTGCGAGTGAGACGCAAAAAACGTATCGTATCGCGGTTCCACTCTAGCGCGCGCGGCTAATGAATATTGTGCAGTGCGCTGACGCAGCTGCGCGAAACATCCGCGGATCGATCCGCCATTATTTATTTTATTTTGGCGCGAAACTCTGAATTGGATCACGGCGACAAAGAGGTTAAATTGTGCGTCAAAGCCCATGACAATTGACAATCGCGTTGTTAAACGAAACGTGGACAGATGTAAACAAGTAACAATGTCAGAATGGTTTTGATGCGCCAGCGAATAATAGTAAAAGAGCATTCTCAATGTCAGCTTTTCTGTTCTTATGTCCTCGGGTTTAAAAGAGGTTTTTGCGGTTTCGAAATCATTAATTACATCAGTAACATGTGTTCACAAAAGATTCTTACGTACTACCGAAAGACCTTACGATACAAGTCTTTAGTTATTCTTTCCCCGCAATCATTCGCTTTATATAATTAATTATCGATATGGATGTTCCCAGAGCTCATTTATTTATCGCGTTTTAGTCTGACATTAAAACCGCTACTAGAGCGCTGTTATGCGTCGATGCTACAGCTTAGCGTGACATTAACAGATATCGTTAGAAAAAGAAATTAGTCATTAACGTGGCTTTCAATAGGATTTTGTTTTCACACCAGCTGATGTGTCTAGTTTGCTTCATTTTCACTATCGACGTCTGATTTATCAAATAAAAATATAGTGAGCTCTGTTTTACTAAAAGAAGTTTCTTAAAGGACTGACATTCATATAATTAAAACTTATTTCTTATAAATTTAATTTATATACACATGATTAAGGGAAACGTTTCTAAAATATATTCGTTATAAATGCTATGTATAAAAATAGATGCAAAACCTTTAGTTATCTCTGTTCACTACTGAACATAGAATAAATGCTAGGGCAACGACTGTGAGAAGCGAATTTGTGAGAACTGCCCTGAAAAAAGTGGATGCCATGGGAATTATAATCAGCACAGTGGCGCAACACGCGATGGGATTGACAACGCATAATACGGTAACCAAGATATGTTGGCAACATAATAACTAAAGTCTATATATTATCTTGGTTAGGTGCGATAAAAATTTATTCTTTATCTTGGCTGTTAGCAGTGAGATAAAGAAATAATTTCGTATTGAGTAAATTGAATAAAAGAAGATATTGAAAAAAATAAATAAATAAAGATCTAACTCATTGTATCGATGATGACCGCAATTAAAAATCAATTACGACAATTTTGAAAAAATCCTTTTATTAAATAATTATATAATGCAATCTGAAACCACCTATATTCGAAAATCGGTCAGGCTCCAGACTTTCAAAAAGGCAAAGGAATCCCGCCTGAATCAGCTCTCACGATTTATAAAATTATACATTTTCAAAGACATGGAGTTGCCTGAGGTAGAAACCTGGTCGAAAATTTTCATGGAACTCGAGAATTAGTAACTTCTGTTTATTTTTGAATTTCTTGAAAATGTCAATAATGAACTGTTTATTCTTCAGTGTAATAATCATAATTATATGCAACACTCTTTTATTTTGCTGCAGATAAGACACGGTGTATACCTACTCAAAAATGATATCTCTATAAATTACAACACGTAATTTTAACACAGCAACATGCATCGCATTAATATTACTATATTTAGTCAATTCACAACAATTTATCATAGACCATCGTTTTTTTGTTGACAGGTAAACGTCGGCCACATGGTCTGACATTTCGAGTCATGCGAAATGACCTCTCTAAAACGCTGATCGTATTATGAATGACCAAGTCATTGACTTCTTTAAATCAAAAATGTCCCACACAAACAGCATCATATTAGAATGAAACATTAATGACAACAAAAAGAGCGCACTAAATCATGAAGTGTCAATGTACTCGAATTCTTGTACGAGCAGTCTCTCGATCGCATCACTACGGTGTATAGTGACGCGGCGAGTGCCGGCGCCGGTAAAGGATGACAGTATCACACAACTAAACCGATCGCTCGCCGCGGAGAGCACTATATCAATCATTCGCTACACAATCGCACCGCGCGCCACTTAAATAAATTTATAACATATTAAGTACGTCGAAAATAAACACTTTACCGTTTATGATTTATTTCGCGAGGCGATGAATTATGGACGTCACTTATTAACTGCGTTAGAGTGAGAGGCTCTAATTTTTATCAGCCTTTTTTTATTTAAATTTGTGCCGATTTCACGTGCCACCGCTGCCGATAAACATTTTATTGGAGTAATTAAAACGACCGATTACAGTTTGTCCGTACACTTCACATTTGCTGAACACATGATGAACGTGTCATTTCACCACGTAATCTACAAGTTGTTACTTTTATGGTGCCATCAGATATATGTCAAGCAGTGCTGATTGTTTTAATTTATACTATACCAAATGTAGTTGTATTCCAATTGGTTTCGCGTATCGCAAGTTACAGACCAAGCAGCTTCATAATTAATAGAGAATGGTCAGTTCCATGACACTGACAACTTATCTGTTCCAGTTATCACGGACGGGTCTAAATGTCAGCACTGTTATAATAGTACTACTGCTATAAATACAGTTTAATTTCAATAATTACTATAAGATGAAGTCTTTGACTGATAACGATTCAATAATATTGTTGTGACAGTTCAAAAGTGAAATTCAATATTACGGAACGTCGATACAAAGTCACTTCCTGTATCGGAGTTCGTTTCCCTCCAACGTGTTGAAGACGTCAAACTTTTTAAATTGCATATCACCGCAACATGTCAACGCCTATTGTGCCTACTGTATTAAAAAATAAAGTAAAAAAGAACCCACAAAGAAAATGTGGTATTATAAATTTGTAAAATAAATTACATAGCCCTTGATTGTTGGTTTGTATCCAGATTACCTGTTTTACGAAGCCGAATTGTTGTGAAATGACTCCATTTATGAGGTCTTTTTTGTCGTTCAAATAATAGGTGTTACTATGTCGATTCGCCTCATCATGTTATTACCAAGTAATGAAATATTGGTTAAATGCCTCGTTTGGGGCACTTTCTTTTAATGTAATATTGGTTTGTGTTTGTATTTTGAAACGTTGTTGTTATGTGGAGGTCCTTCCGAGAAGTTGGAAGGTTGAGTTTTTTTAAAGGTAAATTTTTTGCTTCCTACTACGCGGGGGATAGTTTTTGAAAGACCGATTCCTGTCCCCTATATGTCACATAAATCATTCTACTGGTTATGTTTTCGATTTCCTTTGTGTTTTGTAAAAGAAATATATTTGATCAACTGTTTTAGTTCTTATCACGTCCTTCGTGAATTATAAATTAATAAAAAACATATCGAATCGATTACGAACGATACAAAAGTTAATTTACGTACAGAGCGATCAAAATTTGCTTGCAAACAATCAATCTCGTTCCAATCGAATTTATAATGCATACCGAATGACGATACTAAAAAACGGCGTAAAGAATCAATAATACGAGGCAGTAGCACAAGCCAATCCATGTAGAATTTCCCGTTGCTAATTACGCTTTTTGGTTATTAAAACATTATATCGAAGAAATTGCTGTTACTGATTTACGAGCCGCCATTTTGTGCGCGACATTTTAATATCCGAATGCGTTCGCGCGTTTTTTTTTATTTATTTCTGATGAGCCGGGGAAGCAGGTGCGTTCTTACTCGAGTTACTTTTTGACTGGTATTTTCCTTATGAATCGTTTTTTTCTGTATTCATATTTAAGTCTTTGTATATGTAAACCTTTCTTACTGTGTAATGCATAGATATTTATCTTAGTCAACATGGTTTAGTAACTACTTATCATATTAAAACAAAATTCAAATCTTTTCCTGAATTTTTAAATTTCTTGTATGTGGATATAAGCTAACCTGTTTACTGAAGACTGCTATGTCCTCATTAAATGACTCGGAGGAGCAGACGTCCCCGCCGGCGACACCAGGATCCCGCGGCGTACACGTCGCCAGCTCACACTTTTCGAAGATCAGAGCCAGCAGGGGGAACAGGGGGTGCCTGGAAAGTAGGATAAAATTAGATGAAGAACTGCTTAGCAAAATCATGTGATCAGCAGTTATGATCTTTTCTATAGGTAAACTAGTCTGTAAATTTCTGCTAAAATAAACGAGTTAAAAATAAAATAACTATGATTGTATTGTATTACAGCTATTTATTTCACAACAATTATAATCTCAATATTTTAATAGATGACAGATAAATCAGCTATAAAACTAAAGAGGGTAATTGAGAGTAGCCGCGACCTCTCGCGTAAGATCACAGATTAGATGCAGATTGCGTAGTAGACGTGACGCAGATACCATCATCTTATGGTGCTTTTGTATCTATACTCTGTGGTCGCATTGATGGCGGGAAAATAATATGACATCAAGAATACCTCATTTCATGTATGTAAATAGAATTCTAAATTAATAATTCTGTTGATTATATTATTAAAATGCAAAACAATTGGCAAGAGCAGCAAGCATACAAAACCTAACACATACTTTTTACGAAGAATTATTTAATTTTATAAAATCTCACTACGATTTATCCTTATAATAATAGGTCTGTCACGCTGCTCGGCTGCGGACCGGGTAATATCATTTATTAGTATATGTTCACTAGAGTGTGACTCTAACACAATTAGCCTGTTATGAACATGTGACCTCAGAAAAATCTATGCAGCAAGACATCTCAGAGCAACTTTGAAAAGATGAATATGGCTAAGTACAAAATAATTCAAATGAACTATGAGTGAAAACTATTAACATTTCTTCATGTTTCTAACGCATGTTACATCAAATTCGCATGTGTGATTGATATAGATTAACCGACTGTACACTGAAATCAACATAATTCACAATTTTTTTGTTCAATGGCTCCAAGAGCAATCAAGAAATTTAACAAAAAAAAAATTGGAACAGCGAATTAAATATTTATTTCTTTTTTGAAAATAGAATTCAAATACAAATCGAACCAGAAAAAATCCATTTTCAAATATCGCCTTCTGTTAAGGTTCCAATTATAAATTTAAAAACAACTCATAACTATTTTAGTAAATAATAATGACAGTTAAATAAATTGCTTTATAATTACTATAACTTTCATAATAGCCATTAAAGAAAAAAGTGCAACGGATGCCTGACCTTTAAGACGGAAACAGTGTTGATGTTTAAACTATTGTATTAGATGTAAAGCTACTACAGGATACATAAATAATAAACGCAGTCTAGAAAATATTAAATAATCCAATTTTTTAAAGGTGTGTTTTCTACTTTTTCCTTTATATTTGTTAATTGCAAATTTAATCAGATGATGTGATGTGATAAAACACAAGGCTGTTAATTTCCATAACATGTATTTTAATCAAACATAAATGTTAAAAAAAAATCTAGCTTGACTGCATTATCAGTAGTTCTTACTGTTTTTTTTAAGTTCAAAGAACTATTGAAGCTCCACCACGCGAATTTTAAAACGTTAAAGTTTTTGTATTACCGTGCCTTCCGAAGCAATGAGCAATAAAATTTACGGTCACCCATCCCATGACCAGCCTTTGTCAAAGTTGCTTAGCATTCGCAATCGCAGGTGGAACGTGCGCCTTCGAGTTCCTCAATATCCCCACCTCTTGTTTTTTTTTAATGTTCGGTATTATTATTTTAAACTAAATATTCTCGTCATTCTTCCAAAGGGAAGTGAGGAGCCGTTAAAGCAAACTTTATAGACCACTTGAATCGGTGGATAAATTTGTAGCGGTAATAAAAGTAACATGTTACAATTTGACGACTATGTTACCGTACTTATTAACTTAATGTATATACGTACCTACATTTAGTTGTTTAGTATAATTATTTTTAACTCTATTATGCGGAAATTAAGCAATTTTCGCAAAGGACGGCCTAAGGATGGGTGACCATAAATTTATTATTTCTAGCTCCCACGCGTATCAGAAGGCACGTTAAGCCATTGGACCAGGCTGCATCTGCAGTCGTTAGCATCAATCCGCAATGGGCCTGCGTGATGGGTCATGGCCCATTCTCCTATTTGATTCGATTCCACAGGGAAGGCCTGAACCTTACCAGTCAAGTGTTGATTTTGTGCTTTTTTAGTTCTGCATATCGCACCCCCGGTGCGACATTGTCACTTTTGCAAAAAATACAAAAAATAGTTAAATATGTAATAATTGTCCTAAAGCACCCATTTACTTGGTGCGATAATGTTACTTTTGTAGCACGCATAGTTTCCGTATAATTCATCTCATCTATAGATTAGAAGATTCTAAAGTCATTGTATTGTGAGGTGTCAGAGCTTAAAACTCTTCTCTGACGACTATGTTACCGTACTTATTAACTTAATGTATATACGTACCTACATTTAGTTGTTTAGTATAATTATTTTTAACTCTATTATGCGGAAATTAAGCAATTTTCGCAAAGGACGGCCTAAGGATGGGTGACCATAAATTTATTATTTCTAGCTCCCACGCGTATCAGAAGGCACGTTAAGCCATTGGACCAGGCTGCATCTGCAGTCGTTAGCATCAATCCGCAATGGGCCTGCGTGATGGGTCATGGCCCATTCTCCTATTCGATTCGATTCCACAGGGAAGGCCTGAACCTTACCAGTCAAGTGTTGATTTATTATAAATAGCTTTCAATTCGTTCCCTCAGTACAATTATAGAAAGTTTATAAATAGCGCTTCAAACACAACCCTTTATGAATAAATATATCCGTCACCCACCATTGATTTGTAGCAAGGCAATGCAACAATAATATTGGACTTCAGGTAGATAGTACAATGGCAAATTCAAGTAGTTAAGACTCTATTGATTAGCAGAATTGAGACACAAGTCCTTATGTACGGCGAGCCTTCATGCAATGCACGTAGTTCATTTAACCTACATTACTTAAAAAAGGGGTGTAATCACTAGAAATCGAAGGTTTCTTCATTGTCTACAGCCATGTTAAGTATATGTATATTAACAGGGAAAAATAGTCATTCTTGCCGGATTTTCTCAATCTCAATAGAACTACTACTTGGTAATACTTCGGCTATGGATTTGCAAAACGATGGGATAAATTTTCTACATCCACAAGTGCAAATCCTAGACCGAAAAAAATGATATTGAATTAAAATTGTATGCCGTGCTCTCCGCTATTACCATAACCCCACCATCAACAGAAGCTCCTTTGAGTTTCTTGACAAGTTTTGATCTGATAAACTGAGATCGTGCCGAATGACGCGCAAGTGCTAAACGCTATCTCATTATACGTGGTAATTTGATCGTTTAATTATCTAAACATACCAACTGAAGAACTATTTATTGGCTTTTCAGTCTAAAATACTGAAGCTCGTTTAATGTTTGCACTCATTGCACTTTGCATATTAAACAAATAAAAAAAGATGAACAAGAACAAAAATGGAATCGTTTCGAAATTTAAGTATTTAAAAAAAAAGTAAACTGCTTGGTATCCGTTACCGTTATCCATGCGTGGTTCCACTACGCGGAGCATAGATAACCACAATACTTTTTAATCTCGCGCGCTCTATATTCATCAAGCGATGTCGATTTTAAATTGCTCATTACTCTATGGCAGAATAGTTTAGGAATTAACTTTCTTTTTTGCTTTATTATTCGTTTATAACGAATCCATTTATGTTTCATAAACATTTTTTATCAAAGTCTGACTAGACGATACTATATTAATTGGCTATAAAGTTTAAAAAGCTTTTGGAAAAATGTAAACACTTCTTTATGTTTTCAAGAAGTCTATTTTAGAATCGTTATAAGAGTCAGTACACACAATTTTTAAAAGAACTAGAAAAATCCAAAATTATTGTAGACGTTTTGCACGTCCACAATGGCACTCTTTTAGTTTTAGACACACTAGATACCCTTTACCTCGACTGTAGTAATACATTCAATAATTGTCAAACGATCACAAGTAATTTTACTATAACCTAAACTCTACACTCAGACAACTGAACTGCTGCTGCTAGTGATATGTCATTTGTTGTGTGCTATCTGATGGTGCCACTTCACTTGGTTATTAGCAGGAAACTCATACTATTCGTTCTTCAGTCGATAAAGAACCTTTAAAAACACTTCTGCAAAGTGCAGTGTCATCATGAACTTTGGTCAAACTCTTCCTTGTTCTTTCCCTCTCAGAATATCTTGATGATGGACTTCTACACCTACCATTGACCCTGCAGTCTTTTTCACAGTACATGATCTTTTCACTACTTCAGCTTCTGCTGACTGACGATATAGGTCGCTTTTAGCACACTCGTTGATGGTATTCGAATAATTCTATAGTAACAACTAAAAATTGAACAAACAGTACAGACTGACTGACACAAGCCACTTTACCACTCACCCGTATATTGCGTCCTTGTCTCTCTTGTGCACGAGCGGTTCGCCTGGTAGCGCGTGCGCGGGCGCCGCGGGCGGGGGGTAGTGCACCGGCGGGAGGTGAGGGTGCGACAGCCTGTGTTCATGGTACATCGCGCCGCCCTCCATGTAACCTCCGCCGTGAAGGCTCTCGTCGTACTGTAAAACGGAACAAGCGAAAGAAATTACAACAGGGACTCCTCAGGTAACTTCCGAAAATCTTAAAATTGATATAGAAACCTCATCGAGACTCCAAATTCAAAGTTGCAAAGTTCTAAATTATTCTTATATTTGAAATAGAATAGCCTGAGAAGTATGTTCTATTATTTAGTTGCCTTAAAAGTTGGACACGCAATAATAAAAAGACTCATTGGTTTTGAAAAATTACAGAATAATTAAACTTAAATGACAAAAAAAATTATTGCGTTACTAATTTGTATTCAATAGTAGATATAAATACAAATATTTCATGTTGCACCTTGTAGACATACAATAACTTTTATTTATTACTTGAATAAAATAATATAGGTGCATAATTTGAAAATGAATGGTGCAGATATCAATATTTGAAAAATAGTCTTAATATTCATTACAAAAGTGTGTACCAACCATAAATATATTTTCATGTAAGTACAACAACCAAACGGAAAAACTCTTTGTATAAATTTTGGTCAGATTCGAACCTAAGTGAGCGATTGCTCAACTGCCTCAATGAATTTGATTAACATATACTGTTTTTTGTACACTTGTGTATTGTAGTTTTTGTTAAAGCCGTTTAAAACCTAACGTTATCCAATAACATAATTTAGCGATGAGTCGATGGCCTTACGTCATAAAAAAAATAAACGTTCCACATTCAAAATATAGAGCAACACAAATACCAAACAAAACCCAGCAACGATTTGACTCAAGTGGTTTTAAAATTCAAAAATCGAATTCATTTAAATAGTAAAGTCATCCTGAGATCACATCGGCATCCCGTCAATTAACTGGCTTTTAAAACCTCCGCTTTTAAAGATTACTGCGTTAAAAAATATCAAAAGAAACATTTGACGGATCGGACTAAGAGCTTTCTACGTGATCATAACTCGATGTAGGCCGCGCATACATTAATATTGTAATGTAGGTAACAAGTATCTGTTAATTCTGCTAGAATATTAATACAAATTGAAAGGAATGAAATATTTGAACTTTAAAAATCGAATTGAAATTAAAAAATCTATGCGTTAACTGTTTCTTTTTTTTTAATTCTGTGATACATTCCGATACAGGTACTAAATAACGAAATTTCAATGAAATTAAATTTAAATGAAATAGACACAGAGCATTTGTTGAACTCATGTTCAATGTCATCACTAATTTCTCAACAGATGATATCATTAGAAGTCTTTCCTTTGCGTATATTATTATTTGTATAATATTATTATGTATACATGAATATTCAATGAACAGCTAACATGTATCTGTTGTCTTTTCGTGTACCTATGTTATGTCAAAGGTCGAATACATATTGAAGCAGAAACTTGAAAACAACAGGCATGCTAATAAGCAATGATAATTAGTGCATGTGTTTTGAATTCATTGTGATAAAATTTTATAAATTCTGATGCAACATTTTTTGGCAATAGCAACACAATGAATACTGCTATACTGATCAAAATTAGATTGAAGAATCATAGTCATAGAGATAGTCGAATTCACTTTAGATAATGAATCCCTGACAGCCATTCATTTCATGCAACCAATCTCTTATATTTCATATTAATGAATTATACAAAAAAAAATATTATTCGGTAATTGTTGAGTTTATTTGTTAAGTCCGTACGAAAATCTAGTTTAATTTATCGCATTCCTACGAAATTAGACTTAACTCAGTATTTATATACCATATGTAGTGTGATAACAACTAACATCGATGGATATACTTAGTTTTTTAGTTCGTCAAATACCAAAAACAAATATAATGCAACATACTATACTTGTATTATCTCTGTGTATATTTAAATAAGGAAACAAACAGATATTTTTAAATATTTTATACGTAAAAGAATAATTTAACATTAATAATTTATATTTTCAAAAATAATGTTACAAAATTTGTGTATTTGTGTTACGCAATTTCAGTTGCAATTTCTTCTTCATGTTGTCTATGTATACAATGTTTTGAAAAAATACATTGACACCTGTCTATAAGATGATTGACATACAATGTGAAGTTCAACAAGAGATAGTTTGTTTTTTATTTTTTTTTCTGTGACACTATTTTGAAAAATATTTCAATCTCATTGCAGAGGTTTATTTTGTTACTAAAATACATAGTAAATTGTTTATTTTCGGAACTAAACAAAGTAACAGCTAACTTTGTAGATTTTTTGTGTGTTATTATTATTATTTTTATAGTTTCAAGTAATTCTAAATTCAATCGATAGCAATATTTTTTTCTATAATCCTAAAACTTATCCTTACCCAGGGTTGCCAGTTACATTGTAAATATTTATATTGTGTAAGCTAGATTTTTTATTGTTACTATTTCATGCATGGTGCACATTACATCGTGCGGCTTTCACTGTTGGACAGGATTATGAGAAAAGTCTATTACTTTTGCGAATCCTGGCAAGATATTGTTTTGTCACTTGGTAACTCAAATAGTGCCATGTGGACAATTGTTAAAGTAAGCAACAAGTGTTTATAATAAAAATATATTTACAGAAAAATTGAAAATGGATTTATTAATAAAAAGTTGGTAGCCCTATTTCGGGTATCCAGACTTCCCGGCCATCAAATACGGTGACTATGCATTTTGTCGGATCGATCCACCCCGTCATTAGTACAGATATACCTACATTACATTTGTTAAAAAAACACATTAAAACCGTATACTTAAAATGTTAAACTGGTTTACTTTAAAATACGTAACAATCTATATTCTAAAATTCGTGTAATATATATTTTTTTGTTAGTATTTATATTTTCAAACTGTTTATTATAAATAAAATATTATTTAATTATTAATAGAATTTACACACCTTCAACCCAGTTTTGATATTATTATTCAATTTTAAATTATTTTGACCAATTTGTAGTTATAAAACATTTACTATAAACAGTACCACTATAATGAACTGCCCTAAATATTTATTTAGGTGTTTACATTATTTGAATAGATTTATATAAGATTTTGTAATTGAACGAAAATTAGATGGCCTTAAAATATCTATTCACTATTCGATTCTTAAGCATTAAAATAAATATATCAATACGTTATTCAATGAACAATTGAATTTATTTCCAGCGTCGCTTTCTTCATTTCATTATCTAATAAAAACCCTTTACATTGTACGTTTAATAAATCACAAATGCAAAATAATACCAACGTTATCGAATACCATAAAACAATTCTTCTACCAATCTGGTTGCGTTTATGATGCATTGATCGAACATTTATTGCTGTATCGATATACTATTGACGTAATCGCTTTGTTATCGCATAGCTGAGAGTGTGAAGATAGGGTAATAGGCTGCTAATAAGTATACAATATTTTCATAGCCAAAATCTATGTCGTACATTCTGGTTACTAGAAAAAGTTAAATATACAATTATACCATACAAATTGGAAAAGTATATTACTTTCTATAATAACTAAACTTCGTAGAGAAAAAGACTAGTAAACAATGATTCAATTCTGAAAGATTTCAAATTATGAAAATTTGATAAAACGCATGGACACGATAAAGTGTGTGTTTGAAAAAAAGACATTCGATTTTTAAAAATAAATTAAATCTGCTTGGTTGTTTGGTCTACAGAAAAGTAATTATATTTTTTGTAATATTATATTTGTTTCTAATTAAACATCGTGCTTTATGAATAAATCATGAAGTTGGTTTATAAACTGTTTGTAAAAAGATGGTATGTCATCGTAGCTCCATTAGTCTGTTCTAGACGTCAGTGGCGTTAATTAATTCGCATGATCTGTATCAGTATTGGTAAGTATGAAAATAAGCTATCGTTAAAACAATAACTGCATAATAATTATTGCATTGGCAAGTCGAAACTTGGTGAAATAGTTAAAATTATTCTTTCACTTTAGATAACTCCAGCACGCGTAGCATGACGAACTCGAGAACGTTTTGTCTACACTCAAATGTCACTTTTCTCGGGTGCGCCCATACTATATCCCACTCTTGACCCGACAAACTGACAAGTGAGTGTAGACAAAGCGTTTCTCGAGTTTGTCATGCTACCCGTGCAGTATCTCTAAAATCTTGCTTTAGTGTTTGGTTTAATAATTAATAAATTTATGGCACACTCTTAGTATCTACGTTTCCATAAGGAATTCCTAAAGTATATCAATTCTGAATTACATCCAGAAAATGCTAGTTTCTAAAACCTAGTAATACAAGTAAACACACATTTATTATAATCAATATTAAGTATCGATAAATTGTAACCAGTTAAACAAAAGTAAAAACCTTAGCATGAAACCATGGAAGTTCAAATTTCCCTTGCATGAAACAATAAAAAATGTCGTTTTCCGTATGTAATAGCTAATTACTATCTATTGACAGTAAGTGGTAGTGGGATCGTATAATCTGATGCTCTACCATTTACCCCACTACCAGAATTACAGGCTTGATACGACACGATACTATCAATTTAATAAAAGCGAAATAAAATTGCTTCAACTTTTAGAATAGGTAATTGTATCAAAGTAACAAATCGAAACACTGGCTTTGTCATTAAATATATCTTAAAATTAAAACTCCACGAAAATTTTTCTGTTTTTTTTTCCAAATGTTGACAATCTTAAATATGTAGTTTGTTAAATAGTTTATTGATCAAACGAAGTGATATTAGCTAAATTGATGTTCGCTTTTTGTTATGGATTTATGTGTATTTTTAAGATATATAGAAGAGAAAAAAAAAATAAAGAAAGAGGTATGGTACCTTTTAACATTGCACCTTACTTTATCATTGATCACAAAATCCTCCACAGAATTATTTCAAAAATCGAATTCTCATTTCAAATATTATCACAGAATAAATTCAATAAGAGAACCGATTTAATAGAGCTATAAAGATTATAGAGATGTGCATTATAAATTCACAGAATTTAAAGTACGTAGTTTTGTACGTGTCACTTGCGTATACATAAATTAGAATCGGAAATGGCAACGCGACTGTGCCAGCTATTATGTTACTTATATGCAACTAGTCAGGGGCCGTGCTCTTAAAATGTATTGGATTCCGTATGCACAGAATAACGTATTAAATTTCAATATTATTATTATTATTATTATTATTCGCTGAGCCCTTTAAATGTAAGGCTTTTAATACAGGTCGACAACTTACGTATGTCGTAAGTGGTATCCAGTTTACTCTAAGAGCCTGCGACTAACAAACTGAAATAGTCGTTACGATTTCCCTATAATCTATCTGATACTATTTTATTAATAAACTACTACATATAATATTGACAAAATAAATTTTAAATGATAATAAAAACCTATAATTAAATAATAGTAGCTTTTCCTATGAGATATATTCCTCAAGTAAAATGAAATAATCTACTTCGTATAAGGAATCACGTCAAAACGGTTTCGGTATGAAAGATGGGTAAAATTTAAATCTAGAAAGTTAAGTATCCAAAATGTACGCGGCAATAATTTTTTTTTTTTTAATTTTAGTACTTACTTTTATTTTCAGTTGACAGTTCTTGCTTTTCTGCTTTGCAAGTCTCATTAATATCTATTTGGAGAATATATTTATTTACTCTAATATTTTAAAATTTCATTATCATAATTATTTTTTTTTAATATTCGTATCTTATAGAACCCTAAACCTGCTAAGCACCTATTTCTCACAATGAACTCATCATTACCTTAATGATTGATATTAATGCACAACGACAACACTAGGACCTTCGTTGTTTGATGGATATGACAGTAAATACTGTCCACATGGGAATTGACGATATTAGAACAATCACTGTTATAATATCGTCAATTCCCGAGAAAGATGAAGAAAATTATATTATTAAGAGATGGAAAATTATATATAACTAAATATACCTACCTATTTTAAAGTTCTAGTCACACAATATAAGACATTTTTTTTGGTAAATGCAAGTCAGTGCCAATGTCTTCGCAGTATTTAACTTATTCTACTGTACACAAAAATAACTAAAAAATCATTTTCATAATTTGATTGATTTATTAAATAAATAATATTGAATTTTGTATTAGTAGATAATATAAAGTAAAACCAATAATATTCAATACATATTCAATGTAAATAATAGCGGCCCCAAATTGCTTCCTCGAAGCATACAATTTTAAATAGTAAATACAATAGTAAACAGATATAGATTTTTAAAGGTTATTTATAAACACTATCTTTATAAAGTAACGAAATATTAACCTAAAACTAATCTGTGGTCATTACATGAGCTAATTACATTTTTATCTTTTAAAAATCGTATGTTGATATGCGTACTTAACTTTATCATATTATATTTAATATCGCATGTTTATCTCTATATTTAACTGGTATTATGATTCCGCACTATAATCTTTAGTCCAACATTTAGGTTCATTTGTGTTTGGTTCAAAATGTCCAATTTTAAAGTTGACCAATCCGTTGATTTCTCGAATTTTCTAATTCAACTAACATAATATAGTTGCAGATGCAGTAACTGAATACTTCTTAAAATACTAATAAATTGCGAACT